TCTGAGAGCCCAGGACACAGTGGGTAGGCAAAGTAATCTAGGCAGGACTCAGATCTCCTCTTTTTCCTTCAAATAGTTTCTTTCAAGGTGGATGATTTTGAACATCTTTTATTTATTTAGCTAAGTCTCATTCATCCTTAATTTGGGAGTGCTTCCTACCTAAGAATGGCAGGTAGCCACAAGCTACCAAATTTCAGCCATTGTCATTGGTGCGGAGATTAGAGTTGTAAGAAAATAAAGCTTAGAACCCAAAGAATTCATTCCTATGTTAGACATGATAGTTTGCAAGAGAAAAGGGCAACTCAACACGTGATTATCAATATTTCTTGCACATTTTTCAAAGAAAATATGGTTGCAATTTGTTGCATGCAACCATGAGCCATGTGTTGCAGTGGTTAAAGTGCAGTACATGCAGCCTACTTCTGTTGATTACCGGTTGCCTGCAATTTGGCAGTTCAAATCTCACTAGGCCCAAGGTTGATTCAGCCTTCCATCCTTCCAAGGTGGATAAAATGAGGACCCAAATTGTTGGGAGCAATAGGCTGACTCTATAAACCACTTAGAGGGGGCTGTAAAAGCACTGTGAAGTGGTATATAAGTCTAAGTGCAACTGCTATTTGTGGGAGAAAAAAATATTGCATCAATCTAAGAGTAAGTTAATCCTCTTCTCCTGATTACATCAAGTTGCACTCTAAAGCGAACACTATTAATTTCCTGGGAAGGCAAAAGCACAGACTAATAAATGATCATGTTCAACTCTGCTGATCAATGAATCTGGAAGTGTGTCTGTATTTTCCTTTTAAAGAGTGCAGCACTCAAGAAAAACGACAGCAGTCTTCGACCTCAGCCTAAATTTATTTTGGCGAGACACTCAACCAACACAAGGATTAAACATCCTTGCTGCAGAAATGTGTTCCAAAATACTTCTGAGTAATTCTTGTCTGTTCTTAGAATAAAATATTTGCAATAGGAAATACCGGGCTCCAAGTTTATATCCTCACTCTTCTGAAGGAAATAGGAAGGAATATATGTAAAAATAGATGTTTTAAATTGTGGAAAGCTTTAACATGCCTACCTTTGTAAAAAAAGAAAACAAAACAAGAAGAAGCTGAATATTGTGCTATTGAATTATCTTGAAAGAATTTTATGGTACTTGGAAATTAAATGAAAACAAAAGATGGAAGCACATGCACTTCCCAAACCTGGATTACCCATTATTAATTTAGAACAATTAAAGCACAAATGGCCAGGCTCAAATTATCCTTATAAGAAGACCTAGGTCTCTGGAGAAGGCCCCAATGTTAGGAAGGGTAGAAGAAAAGAGAATTAGAGGACAACTAACTCAAGATGGACAGACTCTGTTTCAATGAAGTTGGATACAGCATTGGAAGACCATGCTAGGGAAGGATTATCATGGAGAATGACCATTGGCTTACCTGAATGGTCGTTCTCTAGGTGCTGCGGGAGTGTCCAAGCATGGGTTAACTTCAGCTTGCTTCCCAAGGACTGAGTTTAAATCTTTAGTGTAGCCATGCCTACTGCTCCCTTTGGAGGTCAGTTTGAAAAACGAGGAGGTGAAGTCCAAAAGGATGTCGAAGAAGGTGAACTATGTCTTCAGGAGATGTGATTCGGCTCCACCAGATTACCCAAGGGTGGGGTTGGACACTCCCGCAGAGCCTAGAGAATGACCATTCAAGTAAGCCAATGGTCATTCACCTAGGTGCTGCTTGGAGTGTCCAAGCATGGGACATACCCAAGCTATATAGTCCCAATGTGGGAAACAGAAACATTCCGTTGTTCCAGAGCCGCTAAGACCCGCTGCAGGACCCTCCTTCCAAAGGAGGCCTCTGCTGCTGCAAAAGAGTCCAATTTATAGTTACAAACAAATGGGGATGGTGACATCCATTGCTGCCCTGCATATGGTTTCGATGGATGCCTGGGTTGCCCATGCGGTTGAGGTTGCGGCACTCCTCGTGGAATGAGCAGTGATGCGAGGAGGAACTGGCTGGGCCTGAGGTTCATAGGCCAGCTTAATGCAGGTGCGCAGCCAACGCCCAAAAGTCAAAGAAGAAACCTTCCTGCCCATTGAGCGGGCTGGAAGGAAATAAAGAAGGATTCGGACTTGCGAAAGGAGGCTGACCTCTTCTTATATATGCGTATTGCCTGTTGTACGTCAAGTTTGTGCTAGACCCGCTCTCTGGGATATCTGGGATGCGGGCAGAAATCAGGGAGAATTATCATGGAGAAAATTTATCCATATGATTGCTAAGAGCTAACAATGACTTGATGGAAGAATTGTGTTGCATCTAGTATTTTTTTTTAAAAAAATCCTTGATTAGTCTTTTTTTTTAAACCAAAGAACCCTCAGTTTCAGTCTTCACTCATTAGTGACTTTTATGAGATAGGTTGAGGGACAAACTATTTATAAAATGGAATATATTCCTCCATTCAACATTTATGGATTTTGTTGTTACTGTTTTTAAGTAATAGCTGTGTGATATAAGATTGAAGCACACCCGAGGATTTCATTTTTCAAGGAGTTTTGAAAAAGTCCTCCAGAAATATATCCAAGTATTTGCTACTTGACGTGGGAGAGAAGCCAATATTGTTGTCGCTAACAACTTTCCTTCCATGCCAAAGAGCAATGAGAACACGAGGAGAAGATTCATCATGTATCTGATATTCTTAGCAACACAGATATGTTCTTCTTTCGACTTTGCATAGATTCCACCCAGAGGTGGTATTCTACCGTCTTGGACCGGTTCGCCCTACCCGCTCATTCCAGTTCTATGGCATCCCATTTAGGTCCTTTGTTTGCCAAAAGCACATGCATGGAAGGTTGTGAGCATGCATGGAGGTGGGCGCACGGTCACATTTGCGAACTGGTAGGGAAAGTAAGTGAATACCACTCCTGATTCCACCCCCATAGATAACTAACTAAACAAGATTTCTTTTTAGATAAATATATATATAGTTTAAACAGTACACAGTATGGTACTGAAAAATATATACGAAATGTTTTTTTTAAAAAATAAGTGATTAATGATATACAGACCAAATACTGCTAAGCTCTTAATTGCATAGATAATTTATACACAATGATTTATAATCCACTGAGTACAGCAGGCTCTCATATTTTGGGATTTTGGTTCTTATGAAATTTATTACAGATTTGAATTGAGTATGTAACAACATAATATTTTAAGAAATGTAATGGCTCTTAACTCACAATAGAATGTGATTGTGGGTTAATCAGTTTTTACTTTTGTTTGTTTTTGTGCTTTGAAGCCATTGTTGACTCATAGCAACTGCCTGCAGTTTTATTGGCAAGATTTCATAAGTGGTTTGCCATTGTAAGGCACAGGGCTTTAAAGCATTATGAAACAGTATATTAGTCTTCTAAGAATGATTGGCCAAAGATCATCCAGCTTGCTTTGTACCTAAGACGGGATTAATATTCAAAGGGTTATGCCTTAACCACTATACCCAACTGGCTCTGTGTGTTAATCAGTTACAAAACAATAATAGATAAACTGGGGACTTTGCCTATTTAATTACATCAAGTATACTAATCAATAGCCCTTTTCTCCATTCTGATATAGCAGTCAAAATTTTTGAATGACGGCAGTTGCGTGAAGAATATTCACTTTCCAACTCAATTAAACGACAGTAATTCATGCAAAGTCTCTCCCACTATAAATGGATACAAAACAGTAGACATATTCATATCTCAGTCAAAATGAGAAAGATGTTAGGTTGATTTAAAGGCTTCTAAAATGCATTGTGCCTTAAGCTTTGGAAAATTTAGCCCCTACTTCAGCAGATGCTTAAAATAATTAGCTTGACATGTCAACAATGAAATTAAAGGAAAATGAAGCACTGTATACAAAACACAAACAGCAAATAGCAGTCCTATTTATAAAACAATGATTTCAATAATACTATCAATAGTCTTACACTGGGGAGTAAGTCAATGACTTTACAACACTCTTTCTTTCCTTCACAGAATTTTATGGCTCATGTATTTAAAAAAAATACCTCATTTTATAAGGAAAACAATGATGTTGAAGTATTTCCCCACTAAGGCTTGAATATTATAATTTCTGAAATTATACTGATATTATTTTAGACCTTGAGCAATTTGTTAATGCTGGAAACATAATATGAGCCAATAGCATCTTGGTTTAAAAAAACCATCATCATCATTAATGAGACTTATATAAGCACTGAAGTGAAAAGATTAAAAAGACTCAAGATAGTTTATATTAAAAAACTCAGTAGAAATGAGCCATCAAAAAGCTACAATGTAATTTCAGTTACATCTCATCAATCAACATGATTTACAAAACATAAAATTTGGGTTTTCAGTGCCATTGTCAGGGTTCCAAGTAATACCCCAAATGAAAGAAGACTCTGAGGCTTGAAGTTCCTCAAAGTTCCATTTTATTAGAGATGTCGTATTGACACATCTGGGAAAATCCGTATCTGAAAGCTTCCAGGTTTTCCCCACCCAAATGAAAAGTCCAAGCACCTACCCAGCACCCACCTGTCCATCACATGGTCCAATCAAAGCATCGCCCCAATCCTCCCAGTCACATCCCTCCAGGTGCAGGACATAATGTTCTTAACTCTCGGAGAAAGGAATGTTATTATGGCTATATAATTCCCCAGCTCCATATAATCCTCCCTCCCAGTTTCCCACAGAGTAAATGTGGCAGGCCTGAAGATCAATGCCCAAGATGGCTTTCAGGCCTGGCAGCCATTCTAAAACAGAAGAGGAATAGAATAGAACTGGAATTTCAAGTGGTTTTGCTGTATAACTGTCCCCTCTAAAATACAGAGATAAAATGATTTTTTGGTTAAAGAAAAGTGGGTATCCTTGGCTCCTAATTTCTACATAATTCTTAAAATGGCTCAGAGGAGTATAAACTAGGAACATTATGGTTCAATTATTCAGTACTAGGCTTTCATCCAATTGTAGTTTATAGATGGTTACTTACCATCAGTTTGAGATTTACTGAGGAATATTGTGCTGGCTCGTGGATGGTCTGAGGGGTTGAATTCCATGTTTAGATCTTGAAAAAAAAAGTGAGAAGAAATGGAATATTAGGAATGACTTATAGAGTAAATTTAGTGTTTCATTGTACAACTGGTGCTAATCCATTGTAAAGCAACAAATGCCTTCCTAGACCCCAAATTATTGCTTTGTAACAGTGGTGGGTTATGACCGGTATGTCCTGGTATGCACGGGGTGGGAAGGTCCACCTGCCCACCCGCTGTTCTTACCTGTATTTGAGCTCTTCGGGGCTTCCACGCACATGCACGGAGCATACGGGGCCTGCACAACACTCCGCCAAGCAGCTGGAGCGTCGCAGACGGTAAGTATGCATGCGCCCGCTGTGTGCGTTCATGTGGTGGATGCCCTGTTGCACCATACCGTTGCAATAGGATCCGGAACCCACCACTGCTTTGTACCCTCAGTTCTCCAATTTATTCCCTTTAAAACAGAGATTGTTAACCAATTGGTTCCACTGACTTCTTTCAGAGCCTGCTGAAAACTACAGACCCCTTCATGGAAAAAACACGTGTCTAACTGCATAAAATAAAATACACAGATATAGATTATATTATAAAAGAAATCTAACTCAGTATGAAGAAATGCAATTATCAAAATATTAAAGAATACCAGCTATGCAATATAGTAGTATATGTGATTCTTTATTCATCACTTATATCAATTACAAATTTTTTTAATTAAGTTCCAAATTTCAATTGGAGAATAGGAAAAATAAAAGGTATTTTTCCTATCCAAGTATATATATCTCTTGAAGTCTATCCCTGGATCTCCCAATGGATTCCTAGCTAAGAGCCTCTGATTTACAGCAAGATTATTTCAGATATAATTATTCCCTGTAATAATAATTACTGTGCCTCTGCTTACACAGATTTATCCTAATGTGGAAACTATTGATATATAAGGACATCACCCTCTGCCAGTTTATACAGATTTAATTTTATGAGATAGAATTAACGGTAGGCAGGATCTTTAAAGGGAGCCAACATAACACAATTAAGAATGCTAGATAAGGAAACCTTGAATTCAAACCACAAATGAATTATATAGCTGGTTGGATCACCTTAATGTTTGTTAGGAAAAAGGGAGAGCGGGGATATACTTTACACCAAACTTTTTCAAGAAAAAACAAACATACTGGAATAAACTTGCAAAAGGATCTTCCTCTACTTGCCTTGTAGTGTGTAAAAATAGTCTCTAGCAAACTCTTAGAAATGCTTTTTCAAGGCATACAAGGCTTTAAAAAGTCAAATAAATGGGCCCTCAAATTAGGAAATCTGTGGTCTTTATGCAAGACAGTTCCATTGCTGCTACTAAGAGGAGGAGGTCAGGACAAAAACTGTTTATCCCTTATTTTTCTCTCATTTTCCACCCTTTGTGCTCCTTATTCCTGCCCCTTCCAAAATTCTAGAATTCTTGAAAGTCTTCAGTTTGAGTCAGGAAGCAACTTGTGCACGGAGAAGATCTGCCACAAGGGGGCCAATTAGGACAGGATGAAGCCAGGAGGTTGTGATAGCCATTCTCAGAGCTAGCCCATCCTATGGTTGGAGGCGAAGAGTAGGCAGAAAACAAGAAGGGGAAGAAAAATAGAGGAACAAAATCCTCTACACCTCTCATCTTCATTTCAATTTGAAAAGTTTTCTTGAGAAACTGAATTTTGATTCTAAGTTTTGCTGCCAACTGGCAGAAAGCATTGTGATGGCATTGCTTACTCCTCTTAATCTCAGCTCTGCCTTCCCTAGAAAATGACACTGATAACACTCTTTGCTGCCAAATGTCAAGGAACATCCACAGCTTTTAGCCCCCTTATTTGGATATGAGCAGCGATCTGCCCACTAGCATACAAGATTTTCCTATAGCAACTTTATCATTAAGATGTGTGGACTTCTGTTCCCAGAATTTTGCTGGCTGGAGAGTTCTGGGAGTTGAAGTCCACACATCTTAATGTGGTTGAGGAACACTATTGTAGACATTCATACATACATAATCACGCTCTCAGAAGCAGGTACACATACACAATCTAACAGAGTCACATATGATAAGAGAAGAGAGAAAAATTATTATTATTATTGTGGTTGTTGTTGTTGTTGGTTGCATAGGCAGCCGGATGCTTGGACTGGATTAGGTATTCTTATCCACCTATCTTATTATTACAAAAGATACGAGTGGCACTAAGAACCATGGAAAGATACATTCTTTCTTGAAAGAAAGACCTGCATGTGGATTAGAGAACAAACAAAACTTTACAATATCATCAAGAGCGGAGGGGGGGGGGGATTGCAATGGAAATGGGCTGGTCACAAAGCAAGAAGAACCAATGGCCAGTGGACCAATGCAGACACAAAATGGATCCCACTTGATAAAAAGCATACACAAAAGAGATCTAAAACAAGATGGATCAAAAACATCAGGTTTGAGGTTTTCTTGAAGTTTTATTCAACTTGTATGCCGCCCTATTCCCGAGGGACTCAGGGCGGCTAACAAAACCGGAAGGGAGGGGAACAATTAGCAAGTATGGCAGGCCCAATTGGTAAAAGCAAGCTCAGGACCAGAGGTGGGTTGCTGGCAGTTTGATCTGGATTGGGCGAACCAGTAGCAGCGGCAGTCGGAGGCTCCACCCACCCGCCCAAACGCATGTGCAGAATCATTGCAGGAGCGCGCCTGAACCAATAGTAGAAAAATTGACCACCCACCTCTGCTCAGGATCATACTGGTTGGAAACATGTGGAAGAGGCATTCATCCTACAGTGGACAGACAATGGCTAAAATAGTAGTGATGATGATTATAATGATGATCTTATTATCATATGTTCACAATAATGTGAAGTCACAGCTGCCAGTTCTTTAACTGATAGTGAACTTTGTACTCATCGAGTTCTTCCCAATGTTGTAGGATGTCATTTATTGGTTAGTATATGTGGGGATCTAAGCAGTGTGGCTTTTTGCAATTGGCAGATGGAAATTTTGCCAATGCACACATTATCCTGATTGCTGACAGGTTTACAGGAGCAAATGAAGTGATGGTTTTGTCCTAAGGATCTATAAGGCTGCCTTCTCCAATCAGAATCAACCTCTCTAGGAGAAACTGTGATGCCCAATTTTCATGAGATTACAATGTACAGGAATCATTTGGGGAAAGAATACTTTGCCTCCTGAAAGCAGCGTTTGTTAATGCCTTCTAGAAGTTACTTTAATGGGAAATTGCTCCTGAGGGCATTTGAGGGACCTACTAGCTATTAGGGTCAGGGGGTTGGTTGAACCTTTGACATATTGTTAATGTATTGCTGATGGACCTCTCCTCAGTTGCTCTTCTCTGCCTTTCTGTTCTTGCTATGTATGTGTATCTATTTTTTTATTGTTTATATTACTTTAACAGTGTTTGCCATCAGAATCAGCTTGACAAGCTGATAAATCATAGTAAGCAGTATAAATAGATAAATAAACCAAATAGAATCAACCCATCAAGTGGCTTACGTGCTGCTGTGTTGCTTTAATTGTTGTTCTGTGTTTTATCTTTCTACTAGTAGTATTTTAATTTTTATATTATATGGTTTTATTGCTGTAAATCTTAAGAGACTTGGAGTAGTTGGAAAAAATACAAATGGAACAAATAAATAAAAAAACTAAATAAATAAGTAATTCTTTTAGCTCATTAATACATAGGGAAACTAACAAAAACAATGAATGCCAGGTATCCTAGCAACTAGTGGCTTCTGAGGAATTCTCTAGGCTTTCCTAGCTATGCAATAAGAAATTTAATATTAGTTTCATTTAAAAAAAATAAACCATCTATCCATCTATCTACCTGTCTACCTGTCTCACAAAATAAATGGAAAGAGCTTTGAGAAATGAGAAAAATACATATACTCGTTTTTGGGAGAAACTTGCATTCAGCTCCTATAACCAATGCTACATTCTAAATTTTGGGAACAGGATGAGTGTTTGGTAGCAGGGAAGTTCTTAGGCTCTCAGGTATAAATAAAAGTCAGTTACACCAACATTTTAAGTTGTAGGTAGGTAGGTAGGTAGGTAGGCAGGCAGGCAGGCAGGCAGGCAGGCAGGCAGGCAGACAGACAGACTTTTACGGCTGTAGGTATGCTGGTCTTGTTGTATTCGGATCTTTTCCCGTGTAAGATTGAGATTGTCTTGGCAACATTTTGGCGAGGTCTCACTCGCCATCTTCATTTATATATATAAAAGGCTATATGTATGTATGTAGGTATGTATGTTCCAGCATTAATTCTGGAGCACCTTGAGCAATTTCAACCAAACTTGGTGCACAGCTGACTTACCCTCTGGAAACAAATACTGGGGGGGAGGGGGAAGGGGGGAGAACACCCATGGTATGTTGGGTCTGTGTGTCTGTGTGTTCCAGCCGTTAAGGAGAGTGAGTGTGGCATCCTAGAGCGGCCATTGTTTGTGATGTCATGGGAGGGGGAATGGAGAGCCTGCGCCGTTAAGGAGGGGTAAGGTAGAGAACAGGAATGATGGGCATGGGAGTAGGGGGAAGCAAGGCCACTCTTAATGGCTCCCTGTCAGACAAATGCTTCAGGGCAAAGTGCCAGGATCGTAGAAAGGGCAGGAAAGAGGAGCGTATGGGAGCATATGGAGGGGGAAGGGAGAGGGCAGAGATGGTGGGCATGGGAATAGGGAAAAGAAAGGTTCCTCTTTTTGTCAGACAAATCCTTCAACGTCTATAAATACCCGAGCAATGCCGGGTTATCAGCTAGTATATATTTGAAATGACAGGTGATTTTCTTATCTCTGAGTTGAGATCATGTTCTTGTTATATCTACCATACGCTACACAATCTTGCTACACCTACCATATTCCATAGCTCTTGTGCTGATTCAACTTCTTGCTTCTATAGCCTTAGCATTATCCATGTCAGCAACTTTGGACTGATGCAGTTGCCTTAACAGACAATAATAAAGGGATCAAGGTGATGTCATTCTGGGCAAAAGGAGATATATTAAGAAAGACAAGAATCTTTCTTTGCTA